TTTTTTCTTTGAATCTTTCTCTTCCTTTCAGCTTAACTTCTCTTTTCCCCATTTTAGTTCTTGATCACTCCCATACCTATTTTTTTATATTAATCCTCTAGGCAATAGTTTGCCATCCTTTTTTGTTCACTTCCTCCCCTGCCCCCCCACCACCACTAAAGAAAAAAAATAGGAAAAACCAGTAAAAAGTTCTTCTTTCTTCCACTTAATGTGAATTGATGAATCAATTATCAATAAAATGATGATCATGATGACGTTATCATTTGTTTGAAATTTCTATTTGTATGTGTGTGTGTGTGAGTGTACGCGCACACACACACGCGCGGTTTTATAAAAATAAACAATCTTATTTATCTATAATCACATTTAAACTATCAAATGAACAATCATTTCTTCTAGTGTATATAATCTAATTTTCTGTAATTACATTTACAATACAAACTATTATTTGAGTAATAATGTAATGTGAATCATAAGTAAGAATTAAGTAGTATGAAAATGAAGTTCGATTTGAATAAAAAATTGAAGTTGAGTAAGTTAGTGAATAGTTAAATGGTTGAAACAATGTCAGTGTAAATATTTATAAAAAGAAAAAGTCTCTCATTCTTGTAAATTGAATTATGATGTTAAAAGATAAATTTTATTTGGAGGAAAAAAAAGCAACCCTTGACTAATTCTATGGTAATATATCATATAATGATCTGAGAAGTGAAACTAAGGGTGTGAAGGACTAATGAATTTTTTCTGAATTCATACAAGACTACTATGATGTTATTATCTAGACAGAATATTGTCTAATGAATGTAGGAAATTAAATTTTATAACTAAATGATTTCATTAGAATCATGAAATGATCTAAGTTAAATGACTAGTGGAGAGTTAAAAAGCACTGAGAAGCTGTTTTGTTTTAATATGGGACTTTTCAATAGTGCGCACATCTATGATCTTGAACTCGGATTCAAAACTTGAGGTTTCTCGTGCAAACATGCACTACTAAAGAATTCCATACTAGGACAAAACAACCGCCCATTGCCTCCAGGATTTTAATAGTGGTCTAACTTAGATTAGTTCATGATATAAATGAAATCCAACAATCTCCACAACTACATACTGTAAAGTTTATTGTTGGATACTTCATTCTATCCTTATAACTGAGAATTAGGCTTTACGATTAAAATTTAGGACTATGATGTTAGTGTTTTGGATCATGATTGGTAATAATGTCGTAGAATTAGAATGTAAATTTTATAAATTATGGTTACACTCAGTGTTTGGATTTATGCTTAAAGGTAATCATTTAGAACTAGCTTTTACAGTAAGTCTATAGCTGGTGTAAATCTTAAATATAAACTTTATATCCAAATCGTAATCTTACACATTATATGTACCTTTTAATCTTAAACAATCCAATCATAATAGATAGTCTTAAACTCTACTTACTAACTATAAATTCTAATCTTAACATTTAAAACCTATTTCTAACACCATGAATCATTCATTCATCTTTGTTGTTTTCTTATTGACTGGTGTATGCTTCAAGAATATGTCATGAAAAGAACAGCAGTCCACTGCTTTCTGAGTTTTAATGATTATCTGATTTATGTCAGTTCGTGACCTCAGAAACACGTTAACACGCGTTAAGTAAGGACTAATTTCGAGAGAAAATTTCAGGATTTCTAGTCAACAGCTTTGACCGATGGAGTTCAACTATGTTGAATGTGAGACAGCTACCAATCAAAGACAATCAAGGATAGTTGTTCAATATCACAAATTGATTTAAATTAGTCATATACACAATTGGGTCTGTGCCTAGTGATCTAAAGATCAAACGGTTGCCATAAACCTGGATTTCTTGGGTTCGATCCCAGATGAGGTTGTGGATGCGCACTGATAAGCAATTTCATATTAAGATAAAACATCTATCTAATACTATCTGGCTTTTAATGAATATCTAAATTAGATTGGTTCGTGATCTTAATTAAAAGGTTTTATTTTGTTCAAAAAAGTAGTAAGAAGCTTGTTTTCAACATTCCTACTCCTACATTTCAACTCGTATCAACATTGCATCAACATTTCCTCCTTATGCCTAACAACTATAGTAGCCTGAATAGTTACGTAATAGAGCCTCTAGTCATACGAATGAATCATCTGCCTTTGGTAGTATTAAAAGATATCGATTTCTATTTGGATCTCGATCAAATAAATCAGATCAGAGAGAGAGAGGAAAACAAGACAGCACAACGTTCGTGATCCTTTATCGAGGGTATAAAGTTGAAATTCATTGTTATTCAAACCCAATCATCTGTTGAAGTCGAATAGAATACCAAAAAGAAAAGAATCAGAATATTGTAGTGTTGTAGATGCGCAGGAATAGACCAATAATTATCATGTTAAGTTCAATGGTGTCCTTGGACTTTAAATGGACATTTCCTATTGGTCGATATCTGTTCACTTGTACAAAATGTTGTTTTCTATTTTTATGGTACGCTGTGGTATGCTTGACTGGTATATAAGCAAAGTATGTTTGAAATATAATGATTCATATCCCCGAGGCTGTGACTTGTGTTCTGGACTCAACTAACTGGGCTAGACAGGGAAGTGGGACCAATCGAGACTCTAGGCCGTCCGTACGTGTTTACGTGTTACTGTAATCGATCGATAACACAGGGTAGAAAATTACAACAATTTAAATTCATAACATGTAGCATTCTTATTAACTGTTAATTGTCAGTTCACCACAAATAAGACCCAGTTTTTTTATAAAACAAAACAAAATATAATACTATTTAATCTATCAATAAGTATTATAGTTGACAAAAGTTTTTCTATATACAAATAATATGCAATTTGCTGCCATCAGTCGACTAGAAAATTTTTATTGTTTTTCTGTTCAATAAAATATAAGCGAACCCGTACGAATTCGCAGAAAAATTTCACTTTTTTCCCACACCAAATATATCCATATACTGAAAGAGCAGTTTCTCTCTCTCTCTCTTTCTCCCTTCATCATGTTATTTTCGGTTAGCAATTAATTGAGCATGTTTAGGACATAAAGTGAATGTTGGATTAATAATAACGTTACTACTGTTTAAGGATGATTGATTTCCGTGAGATTTTGATTTTTTGTTCATCTGAAACGATAAAAAATAGGTTTAAAGATGACGTAATTTGTGAAAATATAGAATGTAATTTCCTTTTTTTGGAGGGGGGTATCTTCCAGCCCAATTCTATGTTGTACGTAAAGTAGATTTGTGGAAATTGTAGAATCATGAACTGATTTTAGTCAAACCACCGTTGACGACCTTAAAGCACTGGACATCCATTTTGTTGTATTATGGAACTCTTCATACCGGTAATCAAACCCGAGACGTTCACTTTTTCATGAGAACCCCAAGACCACTAAGCAAGAATATGACGATGTTAATGTTTAACTTCATTTAACTCGCTTTATTGCACAGCTCATGAGGTTGTGTTTGTGTATGAGATTGAATGTCCTGTGTTAGATTTCCGAAAGCAAAGGATTTGGATATGCATTGTTGAGAAATCTTATACTATTACAAAACGTTCGTCCAGTGCTTCCAGGTTTGTGGTCTCGGTCTAGCCAAAATCAAATTGTGATTTGAAGTGTGCGAACTATTTGTTTTTAGTTTTATCGAAATAACATTAATTTGGATTCATTTGGTGTTGTTTTACTTGTATCTTGCGATTGTTATTTAAGACTGCAATTGATCAGTCTCTTGTTGACATATATAAATTCTGTGCAGGTTGCCTCGATATAGCCTTAAGTCACAAGCTTTTTAAGCAAAGATGGATGGTGGATAGCAGTGGAATTCAGTTTGACGCACGTTTCGTCCCATTCAGGACTCGTCAAATGGATGTACCTCCATCGCGTTATCCACTTAGCTACTGCGTCCTGACAGCCGCCTGCTCGTGCAATGAGATGAAGTTTAAATTCACTTGATGTTGTTTTACTGGTATTTTCCCATTGTTGTCTAGGACTGCTATTGATCAGTCGCAATTGGTCAAACGCGATGTCGTTTGAGGCGGACGGTACTGGGTTCGAGTCCTAGAGTGAACGTCAACTCTGGGATCCAGTTGACGAGTCCTAAATAGGGCGAAGCGCGCGTCCTGGATTCCACTGCTAGCCATCATCCATCTTTGCTTCATATCAATTTGCTTTTAAAAAATTCCAGTTTAAGACCTAGTCGTGCATAAATCACTCAGAACTTCACGCATCTATAAGTCTTAATAATTAAAATTAATGGAGAACGATTGACAGATAATCTTGGTTTTACAAATTGCACATTCGCCTATCATGTTGTGTATGTTTTCAAAAGTACGACGTTCTTCATTTGTCTTCATTAGAAAATGATTCTCTCATCATTTTAGAGTAAACAGTTAGTATATCAAAGAAATTCAAAAACACTGAATGAACAATAATGTTGTCATTTTTGTATTTTTTAACCCTATGATCCATATTCCATTCATTTGTTCAACACAATACGCTGATCTTAACCCTATGCAAATCTTTACTTGACTTACATGTACAAATAAGTTGTTTACATCAAACCACATAGAATCATATCATGATAAACTCCTCAAATATATAAACAGATCTTGACCATATAGAATTGTTGTTTGCATTGCAAAGTGAATTTAGTACAACAACCACTTAAAACTTAAAAAAACCCCATCGGACTGCTCTTTCAACCTATGAGATTCCTCACTGGTGTGCATTCATAATCACAGTGGACTGTGAAACAAATTAGCCGACTACCAATGATTTGCATGCCTAACTTCAGGGTGCCGATTTCCATCCCTTGATGGGTTTGCTGATTCACACTATTAAGGAGTACCATCTTTAAACAAAACAGCTATTCAGTGATTCCTGTGTTTTCAACTTTTGTCTCATGATATTAATTATAAAACTCAAATATCTTTACAAACCTTTTTTTAGTAACAGAGATTTCAATCAAATTTTTTAAGAAAGAGAGATATGATTACAGAGATAATGGACGACATTGTATTACCTCATTCATTTTATCCACATATAATTGTTCATGATTTATGAATTTCTTCTGATCTGATAATACTGTAATAGATTGAGGATTTCTAATTAAATCATATTCTGATCTTAATATATATGAGGCTTTTATAGGTTTTTTAAATATTGTATTATATACATCATTGTTACCATGGTAACTGTGATTTGTATTAGTGAAACTAATCTCCCCATAATCATTATCATCATCATTATCAACATCAACATCACTGTCATTGTAACTATCATCATCATCATCATTGAAACTGTACAATGAATCATGTTTATGCATCATAACTAATTGATTGCCAATTTTTCTAGCTTCCATTGTTTGACCGATAACAATTGATTGATCACCCGGTGAATATAATCCACCATGTTGACTTTTTTCATAAACAAATACAGTATTACGTTTTTTATAAAATATTAATACAATTAATCCTAATAGAATACTAATTGTTAAAAATAATATACCAATGATAATTAAACCAGCTAATGGTTTATCAATAGTATTACGAATACCTTTAACAAATGAATTAGTCTGAATTGTATTTAATTCAAATGGTGATTTGAATGTGATGATTTGATTAGAATTTCTATGAGACTGATTATTTACTTCAAATAAATTTTCATCATGATGAATAGTACTTTGTTGAGATGTTGAAATGGATGTATCATTGGTTAAAATTAAATTGATAGGAACCATTGTAGTGTTAATAATAGTTGTGACATTTTCAATTTGAGTAATAACCATTTCAGTAATCATAATTATTGTATTGAGAATAGATTTATTAATCTAAATAAGAATATTTTTGAAAGAAAATATAATTATCATTAAATGTTTGAGAAAATGAAGCATTGGACGGCAGTCTCATCTTAGTATAGGAATCCTCAACAGTGCTCATCCACGATCCCGCCCCTCGCAAGATTCGGACTCAGGACCTATCAGTCTCGCACGCGGACGCTTAACCTTTAGACCACTGAGCCGGCATTCAACGGTGTTAATGTCTAACTTCAACCAATCCATGAGATTGCGCCACTGTACACTATTGTCTTCAGTGAGTTACTATCTCACAACAGACCTGGTTGAACTCCACTGGTCACTGCTTCTCACTATAATTCAATGAAATAACTCTTGGAGACAGTTACTAGTGAGCATAGGACGATTATCATCAGAGAGGGATTTTGTAGATATTATAGTAATTTAATAAATGAATTCATGAGTCAATTGAAGTTAGACCACTTTGGGAAACGTGGAAGCACTGGTCGACCATTTCGTCCTATTGTGGGACACCTCACGAGTGTGCGTTTACGATCCTGTTCGCGGGATTCGAACTCAGGACCTATCAGTTTTGCAGGCGAGCACTTAACCACTAGACCACTGAGCTGGCATTCAACGGTGTTAATGTCTAACTTCAACTAATCCCATGAGTCGGGGTCGTGGATGCGCACTTCTGAGGAGTCCCACTATAGGACGAAGCAGTCGTCCAGTGCTTCCAGTATTTCTATGGCGGTCTAGCTTCAATTGACTCACGATCTCGATTAATAAAATTAAATATTGAATGTGCATAAATCAATTACAAAACAACTGATGAAACACGAATCTACATTTTGATGTTGGTTTTTTTTTCAATAAACAAACTAGGGGGCCGGCAAATCATCTATAAGTAAAATAAAAAAAGCCTATTAACAATAAAATACATTTTATTTCAATCAGAATGTACAGTCTTGAATTTCCCAAGGGAAAATTGTTCTTCTCTCACCATAATAATCATAATAATTATTGGTTTTTATACAAAATAATCTATTTCTTTACTATTGTTATTGTCATTACCTTAATGTTAGTAATTATATCACTTGAGAAAACTACTTTCTACATTGAATGATTGACTTGATAATCAAAATTGAAGTATAACAACAAGTGTTGGTATGGATGTGTGTGTGCGCGCGCGCGCTCTAGCAGCTTTATGTTTGTTTTTATCTACCTTTGCATTTGAAACCTGTTTTCATGCAAACCTCTTGTTTCCACGTTAATTATTATTTATGAAAGAAAATATATAAATATTTGTTATGGAACGTGTTTTCTAATCTTTTTCTAGGACAAAGAATTGTTGTTGTTAATGTCTCACTAGAAACAAAAATGTCACTTGAAAAATTTCTATTGTTTCCAACCCCCCCCTCCTCGCTACCGCTCTCAATTTATGTTTCAGATTAGATAAAAAGATGTTACTGAATACAATTACGATTAAGTTTTTTTCCCCAGTTTATATTTATAATGTGAGGCAACTGTTTAGAGTGAAATAGATTATCCAATATTCAATCATTAAATCACAGGTTTGAAACCGTGTCTTGATTACTTATAGTTTAGTCAGCCCAATAGCATTTTGAACACACACACACACTCTCTCACACATACATACATCGGAACATATCTCAAAGACAAGTGCATTTACGTTTACTTAGTCAGATTAATGGAAACACTAAAACATTCACGTTTTCTTTTACAGAAAGATTGCGAGTTTCTAGAAACATTTGTTAAAGTCACTAGATTGAATTCTTCTGTTACTTATCACATCGACATATATAAGTATCATGTTTCTATTATGGTGATCCACGAGATCATTCAAATTTTGTTAGCGGTAATAAAATGTTATTAGAAATCATAAAACCAAACCCCCTTTTTCTAGTTCAATTTTCTATATAACCTTTGCTTTTTTCTGATTGGTTATTTTTTATACTTAAAGGTCATGCTTTCGTTACCATGTATATGAAGTACCATTTCATTTTGTTCTGTTTGTTTTACTTTAAATATTGAACTTCCGTATCATTTGTTTTTTCCCTGTGTTGTCGGCTAAGCAGTGAATTGCTGTGTACTAGTTGCAGTTATCATTTTACTCCATAGAACCGGCCATATTAGAGTGGCTTAATCGTTCCTAAATCGATAAGTATTGTAGGTCCATACTGAACCACAATTATCAAGATTTAACAGTTTCATTTTTATGTATAATGTAGATAGTTATTTATGTTGACAATGATATTACATCGTTGACTGGTGTTATCAGAAGATAAGGGAAGATGATCGCGCAATATTATGAATTGATTGAAGTTAGACATTAAAACCGGTTGACATCCGCTCAGTAGTCTAGAGGTTGAACCTTCGTGCGAGACTGGAGGTCCTGTGTTCGAGCTCTGTGTGCGGGATCGTGGTTGCTTCCTGCTAAGGATTTCTATATTAGAATGAGACAGCCGTCCAGTGCTTCCATCCTTTAAATTGTTGTCCAACTTAGATCGGTTCATGATTTCAATGATATTAGTTGTACAGAATAGATATTCATTTTTAGTTCGATACTCTTTAGCAGTATCTTTACACAACCACAAACAACGCCAGTGAACCATGAAGTATTGCGTAAGATAAGCTAACGTTCAGTAAATGCTTTTTGGTTGAATTAAATCATACGCAACGTTTAACTCAATCAACTATGCATGCGTAATTCTATTAAAAATTTGAAGGAAGCTTTGATTTCAAAGGCCGAATAATGAAGAGTTACTTATTGTCTTGCTCTAAAATTAGTTAACTTCATTAAGCATAGCTTTGCATTGAAAAGGCAGAAATTCATTAAGAAAAACCATTCACTAGTATGCAGATGTTTACTTAAATAGATAAGAGTTTCATTGTGACTGTTCGAATTGAAGATGATTTAACTTACAAACTAAAATTATCTGCAGTCATTAAAATTCAAAAACATCAGTTTCCAATGTTGCCGTGCACGATATCGCTCTTAGATGCAAAATAGTTGCTACTAGGATATCCTAAAGCAGTTCAGTTATGGTCCGACTAGCTCGATGATAGTGTCTCAAAATATGAAGTTGTGTTACGGAAGTTTAGATATCATCTAGGGTTTCAGTATCTTCAAAATCCCAAGTATGATTTGCTGATGAGTGCCGACTATCACAAGACCTAGGCCAATACAGGGTTTTCTACCGTGTGTTTTCAACAACCTAACATCAAAACATATTGTAAACCATGTCATGCCATTTAGACTCGATTTTATATTGCAACTAGCTCGATAGGATTCGATCAACAGGACTAAAGGACTAGACAAACATAACATTAACCACTACTCAATGATCAGCTAATTGATATAATTCTTCACTTTAACGAAGATTTCCCGTAAATCCTTTAATCCTAGTAAAAATTCGCTTAGTTTCAGATTTACTACGTCTAGTTTTAGTCCTTATTAGTCAGTGAGTGACAACGTAGAATCGTAATTGTGACATTGAATTATCAAATGAAAATCTGATAGGTTGAACGATTAAAGATATCGTATGCCTGTGCTCACCTTCCGTTCCAAATTCCTACAATGGATGTGAACAAGTTACACTGTTTGGGAAAGTCAATCATACACCTAGTTAAAAGTCTCAGCCTACATGTCCCCCTATCTAGGTCAGAAAAGCAATCTCACTTGCAGATATCGTAATTTGCTTTTGCAAATCACACCTTTCTAGACAGTTTTCAGTGGACTCTTACTCATAGCTTAGAGAAGACATACGTATCTGAATCGGACAATGTCGATAAATAATAACAAAATCAAACTTGTGATGCTTACTTATGCTCTTTGTTCCAAATAAAAATAAAATTAAAAATTGTGTACAATTTCATATTTAGTCATATTGATCAAATGATGTAGTATCGTTATTCTGTTTGATTTCTCAATTAGTAAGATTAATTACATGAAATTTCAGGGTATCTTAAATTATGTTAACTAAATTGGACTGGAAAAATTAAAGCATAACACATATGCGTTGTCCAGTAAGCAGACAAAGAATAGTTCTGCACTAGGATTCTATATTCAATAAGAATTTTAATAGTTGAGATCATGAGTCAGTTGAAGCTAAGACCACCATGGAAAACCTGGAAGGACTAGACTGCCATTTCGTTCTACTATGGGACTCCGTTGGATGCCGGCTCAGTGGCCTAATGTTTAAGCTCTCGCGCGAGAGACTGATAGGTCCTGGGTTCGAATCTCGAGAGGCGGGATCGTGAATGCCCATTATTGAGCAATCCCAAACTAGGGCGAAACGGTCATCCAGTGCTTCCAGGTTTTCTATGGTGATCTACCTCCAATTGAATCATGATCTCAACCATTGAAATTACGATAATATCCACAAAACCCCTTCTGATATCAATAATAAATGTTTGACAATTCTATGATTGAGTTTAATTGAATAGAGTTTTAATATATAGGGTGGTATTCATCTCAGATGAATCTTAGGTGGAGTACTATTGCAAACCAAAGAGTATTAGACTGCTGTATTGTCTTCGTATCAAGCTCCTCGGTAGAATGTATATACGACCTGCTAGTGATCGAATTCGAGGCCTTTAACTCTCTCTCTCTCTCTCACTCTCTCTGTGAGTCCCCAGAGAATCATTACAAAACAACTTCATGAATACTAAACGTTAAGTGATTGAATTTTCGGGATCTTTTAAAGACAACATTTAGAATCTTGCTTAGAATTGAATATGAATTAGAAAATGTGTCATTTTTTGCCTAAATAACAATCAATACAAAGTCATTGTTTACTTCCTATAATCAATCTAATGTATATGAGTTTTAAGTTGTTCTTTCTAACTTGTTTATTTTTATAAATAATAGATAAGTCATGTTCAATGTGTTCAATATATCTTAGAAATAAATTTAGTTGAAATCATTTCTCAATGATGTATATATATATATATATATATATATATATTAACAGTAAACAATG